CAGAGAGCCCCACCTCACCAAGGAGCAACGAGGACACAGGGGCAGGAAGATTCTTGAACTCATGATGGGAGGAGCCTGAGAAACACACAGACCACAAGGACCATGTCTCCTGGAGAAGACGCTACTGTGTGGACAGAGCAGGTCTGAGGGAATGCCGTGGTGCTGTTCCCCCATCCCCTCCACCTCCAGCAAGCCTCACAGTTTCCAGGTTTTCCTGTTTTTCCAGGTCCAGGGAGCCCCCACCCCACCCCACACCTGCAGGGCCCACTAGACCTAGACCTGAGTCATCACCATATTCCACTCTCACCAAGGCCTGGTGTGGGGACACCAAGTGATAAGAATGGGCCCATGAAGACCCAGGATGGGGAGGTTTTCTGGGACTCCCTGGGGCCACCGACACTGAAGGAGAGAGGTGCAGGCAAGGGAAGAGACAGGAGGCCAGAGAGACCCCCAGATAGAGACCTGAAGAGAGGTGGGTGACGGCACAGACAGAGGAAAAAGAGAGACAAATAAGAGAGAGACAGAGACACAGAGGCAGAGAGACAGACAATGGTACACAGAGAGACTGAGAGAAGTAGACAAAAGCCCAGAGAGAGACTCACAGAAGGACAGAGGCAGACAAACAGAGAGAGAGAGAGAGAGAGAATCTTTGATCCGGCTCAAAAAAAATGTCTAAACTCAAATTATCTCTAAGTTACAACTACCCCCAGGTGAGTCAGAAACAAGAAGATGGGACTTTGGGGGGATGGTTTATTTTGCCTGAAATCAGCTCAAGTTGAGATTTTTAATAACCCTTATAAGAGAAGGGACCCAGGCTAATTATCTCTCCTCAGAGGGGTTCCTGCAGGCAAAGCTTGGCTACAGCTTAATTTAATCGCTCTGTCCTCATAAGGAAGAGGGCTGCATTGCCACAAAGCCACTGAAAGATTAATCCAGATGAATGACTCCCTCCCCCCAGTTAGCATGGCTTTAGGGGGTTTTAAATCCCACCTAGGGGATGGCCTCACTCCCAACTCACCGAGGGTCAACACAGGACCCCGAGTTAGCGAATTTCACAGAGCGCTGACTCTGAGCAGAGGGCTTGGGGATGGATGGGGGGGCGCAGGGGCCTGCCCCCTTCCTTTCTTCTCTCTCCCACCTCGTGTGAAACTAACAGAGCCAGAGAAGATGGAGATGCACTTCACACAAAAGAAGAAATACTACCCAGCATTCCACCATCTCCAGTCTACCATCAGCATCTGTATGTAAAGGATTAGCTTCTCTCTGCTCCCCTCCTACAAACAATCCCTGGTGGTCACCTTGCAGAATGTTACTGAGGAAGAGGAGGGCAGAGGGGCAGGTGGGGGGAGGAGGACAAGGCAGGGATGAGAGCCTGCAAGATGGTTGTCAGATGGGGGCAGGAGACCAGATGCACCCAGGGGACCAGAACAAGCCAGCAAGCAGGGAAGGGAGAGCAGGCAGCTTCTCACTGTCAGGAAGCAAGGCAGAAGCTGAACTCACGGCCACCGGGTCGATGCCAACTCACAGCGACCTTACAGAACAGGGCAGAACTGCCCTTGTGAGTTTCTGAGACTGGTACATCCTTATGGGAACAGAAAGCCTCAACTTTCTCCCTCAGAGCTGCTGGTGGTTTTGAACTGCTGGCCTTGTGATCAGCAGACAAATGTACCGGGGAAGTGGTGTTCTAACTATGACACAGGGGGGAAACTGGAATACATTCTGCAGCCTTGGGTGGGAGCTGGAGGTATCAGTATGAACTGGTGAGTTTCAATCTACAGATAGAAAAACCAACGTAGGCATCGATGAATGCATACCAATGTAAATGCAACCCTAGTGCTGGTGACTTAGAGGACCTGGAGCAACAGCCCAATAGCAGTGAGCACTGCTAGCTCCAGTTCATGGCTTCTAAATACCATTCCGAGAGCCAGGCTCCTTGGAGAACTGCCTGGTTCCAGGACTGAGATGAACAAAGAACAGGCTGACCCGGCAAAGGTTATGATGCCAACAGGAGAGGGCATGCTCCCCACAAGATGGCGGCACCCAAAGGTCAGAGGCCCACCAGCCGCCCCGATGGCGAAAGGGGTGCCGGTCTGCTTCCATGAAGAACTGCAGGCTGGGAAGTCGTCCTACCCCATCCCACAGGGCCGCTGTGAGTTGGAGGTGTGTCCGAGGAACGAAATAACAACAAGGGCGCATGACGAGAAAGGGAAGGTTCTAAAACGGACTGTGGTAAAGACGGCTCAACGATATGGCTCAACGATTGAATCGTATGATACGTGGATGACGTTCCAATAAAACTGCTGGAAAAACAGACAGACATAGCGACAGTGGGAAAGAGCAGGGAAAACGCAAACAAAACGATAGTTCTGACCTAACAAGGACGTGCAGACAAGGTAGAAGGGTTCCCACTGGCCAGGACCAGAAGGGAAGTAACAGAGCATCGCCGATTGGATACCCTAGAAATCAGCGGGTCCCCATCGCCCTAAGTAAATGAACACATCAATAAAGGAGAAGAAAAGCTCTTCCTTAGAATGGGAGCCCACCAATGAATAGAAAACCATGCATGGGATTTAGCAGCCTCCTCCTACAAAGGAATGCAGAGGAATGCCAGAGCTAGCAGGGGATGGTGTGAGTTACAAAGGGACGAGGAATAGGTGGGGAAGGTGAGCAGAGTCCAGCAGCCCACGCGGTCAGAGTGGTCACCCCATCACCACCACATGAGGGGCACAGTGAATGGCCAGGAGACGTCACTGTGTGGAGGATTTCCTGCCCCAAATGCATACGCTGGGGGTCCCCAGGAGGCAAGACGGAGTGGCCCTGGATGGAGAGACATCCCACAAAAAAGACGGACTAGCGGCCTCCGGAAGGGGAGAGGGTGTCACAGGGATCCTGGGAAGCCCAAGGAACCCTCACAGAACCCAGAGGGGACCCTTTCAAGAAAAAGATGCCCCCTGACCATTCAGGGGCCTTGGTGGCCCTGTGGGCATAGCCCTATGCTATATTAGCCAAAAGGCCGGTGCTTTGAACCCATCGGACACAACAGAAGAGAAAGACATGGCACGTGAGCCTGATGGGAGAGCTCGCCGCTCCCCTCTACAGCTGCTGTGAGTCTGAAATGCCTTGGTGGCAGCAAATGTGATTTTGACTCCCAGGTGGGTGGGAGCCCTGGGGAGGCAATGGTTAAGCACGAGGCCGCTCTCTGAAAGGCCTCCCTGGTGGCCACAGGGCCGTCCGCTCCCACCAAGACCCTTGCCGGTGGTGGTAGGTGCTGTGCAGTTCGTTCCGGTTCCCAGGATCCCGTGTACCAAAGAGAGAAACACCCCCGGGCCCCGGGCCACCCTCCCCATCGTTGCTCCGTGTGAGCGCCTTCTGGCAGGCACGGCGTCCATCCATCTCGGGAGGCGGGGTGGGTGGGGGGGCCTCCCTCTGCTCCACTGCTTTACCAACACCACATCCTTCTCTGAGGACTGGCCCCCCGACAACTCGCCCACTGTCCGCGAGGCAGGCTCTCGCCACTCTCACTTCTAAGGAGCTTCTTGGCTGAACTTCTTCGAGGCAGACGTGTGTGCTGTGTGGCCGTCCACGGTGCCTTTGATACTCTGCCAACACTGTACCTGGCAGGCGCCAATTCTCCTGTGGGCTCTTTCTCCATGGCCCAATCCTCACACGCACCTGAGGTGAAGGAACAGGCACATCTCAGGCCTCACCGTCACCGCCGCGGTGCAGGGCCCGGGTTCTCCAAGGCTGTAGAGGCCTTGCCAGCACAGGGGCCCAGGGCAGCGTGCATGCCCTGTGATGTTTTAATTGACGCTTCCATAAGTGTAGGCTGCGCATGCAAGGAAAGTAAATCTCGAGGGCTTCAAGCTGCCCCCGCTGTCCCCTGTCGCTGTCCCCTGGTCCCGTTGTGAGGATCTGGGCTCTCTGCGTTGAATTGCAATCCGCCGCCCTGAAGGCCAAACACCGACAGCAAGCGCCTCAACTCCTCCTCACTGTCGGCAGCCAGTCCAGCATCTGCACGACACACGTGGCTAATGGACTCTCCTGCGATCAAGCTGCCGGGACCTTCTCAGGGGAGCTGCTCCGGGCGCTCGCGGAACAGGACCAGTGAGAAGCTACGACCCTGACACACGCCTGGCCTGGTTCTGCACCACTCAGCCACGGCTCGTCCCGTTAGGACGGTGGTCTCTCGACCCATGCCCCGTTTTCACGTGGGAAGAACAAAGGGTGCTGGCACCCTCCGTAGCCTCAAGCCCCGTCCCGCCCCCCCAGGTTGTCCTGGCCACACAACGCACGCTGACACCTTCCCGACACGCTCTGACATCAGCAGCGACAGTCCTGCTTCCGTGACCTCCGCTGACTGGGCTTGACTTCCAGCAGCTCCCGCTGCATAGACTGCTGCAGCCATTTCTTTAAAATCATCTCCTGCAGAATGCTACTTGCGTGTGTTAGGAAAGATTCTGTTCCACAAATGCCGCCTTGCCATGCTCTGGAATGGCTGCGGATAGGCCTCTCTTCCAGTCAGGTGTCCGGGCGACGAGCTCTCTTCCAGTCTCCCGATTTCCTGGCACAGACAAGCGGATGCTCGTCATTCGCGGTGGCAACCCTTCCCTTGATGCCCCACCAGTTCCTGGAGCTTGCTTTTGGCTGCATGCCTGGGGTTTCAAAGCCGTCCGTCCTGAATCACAGGCGACCTTGAGAGGCTGGACACAGGCCGATTCTTTCTGGGCACCTTGAGTGTCTGTTCCTGGCACAGTCTTGGGATGGTCCTGCACATTCAGTGTTTTGTCATAGATTTCTTCAAGGTCACAGCTGGAGGCTTGGCGGTTCCCTTCATCTCTTTCCGCCTGAGATGCGCTGGGGAGTCCTCCGGGCTGGCTCTCTGCTCCCAGGCATTTGCACATTTCCGAGGGCTCGTCCGTGTCTCTGGGGCAGCTCTTGGACGTTCGCTGCTCAGTTCTTGGACTGCATCATTTCGTCCAGGTGCTTCAGCTTCTCTGGGTTCAAGAGCCAGTTTCAGGGTCTCTTTTGGCATTGACCTTGGTCTGTTCTTTCTTATCTTGTACACGACCTTTTGCTTTGCCAGGTCTAATGTCCTTGACGTCAACCTGCAATGAGTTAGGTCTGTCATCACTAGTATCCCGCGTGCCAAATGTGTTTTCTGTGATGTTCTCTGAACTCAGGGGGATATGCTCGAGGTCATATCTCGGCCCTCGTGGACGTGTGTTAGTCATTTTCTAGCTTCGACTTGAACCTGCACCTGAGCAGTGGACGGCCAGTTCATCGGCTGACGAGATTGACCCTCTCCTCCACAGACGCAGTCAGTCTGGCCCCCGTGCAGTCCATCTGGGGAAGTCGAGTCCGGCACGTAGGGAGTGCGTTTGTTGGGTGCCATCGAGTCGGCTCTGACCGATAGCAATCTTACACACAACGGAAGGGAGCCCTGCTGCGTCCTGCACTGTCCTCACCATTGCTCCCACGCTGCAGCCATGGTGTCCAACCATCCCTGCAAGGGCCTTCCGCATTTTTTTTTTGCCCCTCCACTTTACCAAGCATGATGTCCTGCTCCGGAATCCCTCTTGACAACACGCCCCAAATAGGTAAACTGACCTCTCACCCTCCTAGCCTCTAAGGAGTACTCTGGCTGTACTTGGTCGAGGCAGGTCAGTTTGTCCTCCGGGCGGTCGGTCCGTGGCACGTGCAATATCCCTTGCCAGCATCAGGCTCAAAGGCCTTGCTCCCCTCGGGTCTTCCTTACTGGGTGCCCAGCTTCACATGCATACGGGGGACTGGAAGCACCATGGCTTGGGTCTGCCACACCCCAGTACCGTCCCCACGATGCCGCTGAAAACATGTATGTGCAATGAAGATGTCGCCACTCTCCCCAATTCTGTCACGCGATCTCCAGCTTCATCTCTGTCACCATATCCAACTACTCTCATCCTCTTTGCCTCCAACGTTCACAGTCCACCGTCGACAATTATCCACGCACCAGAAACGTTTGTGGGCGTCTGCCACGGCTCCGTGACTTGTTTGTCCAGTTGAATAGCAGTTGTAGCAACTGGACCCCCTCGCGGTGATGGTGCTTGGTGCCTTTGAGTCGGTGCCAACCCGTAGTGACCCGATGTGTCACAGAGCAAAGCTCTGGCAGGTCCTGCGCCATCGGCAGGCTTGTCCGTCTGCTGGAGCGCACCGGCGTGTGTGTCAGTCCATCTTGTCGAAAGTCTAACCTTTGTTCGCCGCCCCTCTACTTTACCAAACAGGATGCCTTCCTCTGGGGACTGGTCTCTCCTGACAACATGCCTAACGCTTCTGAGACAAAGCCTCGGCATCCTCGCCTCTAAGGAACCCCCACCCCACCCCCGGCCACGCTTCTCCCAAGACAGATTTGCTTGCTCTTTTGTCAGTTCACAGTACCGTCAACAGTCTTCTCCAGCACTGTCATTCCAACGCCTCATGCCCTGGTTGTTACATGCTGGACTGCTAGCCGTAAGGTCAGCAGTTCGATGCCACTAGGCACTCTGCAGGAGAAAGACGAGGCTTTCTGCTCCCATAAAGAGTGAACGTCTCGGAAACCCACAGGGGCAGTTCTACCCTGTCCTGTAGGGTGGCTGTGAGTTGGGATTGACTTGATTTCCTTCCTTGTAGGCAGATCGCTATTAACCTATCCCGGACCATGCTGTACAACAAACAAACCTCCTCTGGGATAGTAACTGTTTTCCTGAGATGTTTTCGGGAAAGTACACAGGGATCCACCCCATACGCACTCTTTCTGAGGTCTCCCTGTGAGGCCTGGGCATGTGCATTTGAAAAGCCTCCTCCGGGGTTCAGGGTTCACAGCAGTTACCCCAGCCTGGGCCTTCCCTCTGCCAAGGGCACAGCTTAGCATCCTGAGGCCAAACTCCCTGGCTGCCAGCAAGCAGATTCCAACTCCAAGATTCGGAAGCGTGCTCTCCTTCCTGCAAGCACTTCACTGCCACCTGCTGGACATTCGTAGGAAGTCCCTCTGCTGGAGGGGACAGGGCTGATGTAGAAGTGGCTTCACATGAGCTCCTGAGTTCTGGGCAGCAAACTGTCGAACCTTTGGGGGTGAGGCATCCCCCAAGTGGGCAGCCAGCTGGCCTGACCCCTGGACTGGCAGCTGGCATCTGAGGTGAAGGCAGTCTTGTGGGGACTGTGCCCCTCACCTGTGAAGTCCCCCTTAGCCCTGGGGACACTCACTGCACATGTAAAATGAACAAAAACCTCACTCTTTTCCCCTAAAGTGGACCCAGGTCTTTCTTGGCTCCAGGGTATTTCCTATTCTTCTCTTCACACTCCTCAGTACGGGTCCTGGGGGAGTAGTGAGTGTCCACGCACGTGGGTGACCTCTTGTCAGTGGTTCAAACCCATCTACTGCTCGGCAGGAGAAGGGTGAGGCTGTCTGCTCCCATAAAGAGCGAGTCTCGGAAACCCACAGGGGCAGTTCTAACCCGCGCTGGTTAAGTGCTGCTAACCAAAAGCCTAGTGGCTCCAGTTCACAGATACAGCCCCACATTCGTGCAGACACAAGTCACGCTCGCACACAGCAGACACACAGTCACAGGCACACACCCGTCATGACGGATGCAGTCATAGCACAACAGAAACACACACGCAGAACACACACACTCACAGTCACACAGACACAATTCCACGCACTTGGTCACACAGCACTTCTGAAACAGAGACAGACACGAACCACATATCACAGCAACACACAGACACACCACAGACTCGCTCAGACACACACACGGTCACAACCACACTTGTTCACACACACATACACACACACACACACACACACACACACCACAGCAGACACGCTCACGCCACAGGCACAAACCCACCGGCTCGCTCTCACCAGGCACTGAAGGTGGCAATGCCGGATGGGAGTGGGCAGGTTGCTTCAGATGGGAGGAACGCCATTGCTACTTGGAGGACAAAGGTGTTCCTGACCCCACGCCGTGGCATCTCCCATCGCGCGTGTGAACCGCGTGGCTGCAGAAGAATACTCTGGCCTGCCTCGTCTCCCTCGCTCCCCTTGGCTGAGCCTTGCAGAGCCAGCCAACCAGGGAGCCTGTGGCTCGGCCTATAGACTGGTCGCTGGGCAGGATGGGGACCTCCATGGGGAGTCCATCTGAGGGCGGAGGAGCCTCGGAGCGGCTGTGCACATGGCCTTGGAGCCGTTACTGTTATTGTTGTTGCGGCCAGCCTAGGGGCCTTCGAGTCAGCTCTGACTCATGGTGACCTTCTGCACAACGGAACAGGACTCTGCATGGTCCAAGCACTGTCCTACAGAAAAGGTCAAATGGCCTCGATGGGCTTATGGGTTTCCCAAACTGTCACTGTCCTACAAAGTCTAACCCTTCTCCCACGGAGAAGCAGGCGGATTCGAACTGCTGACCTTGCGATGAGATGGCCACATGTCGCCCTCCCGCCACCAGGGGACCTTCGATGCTTGTGGTTTTGCTGGACGTGTTACTGCTCCTGTGATGGTCTCACCTGCAGCTGCCCTGACCTCCCTGGGTGCAAGGACCCTCGAGGGGGGGCCCACCCGCAGGTGGGCCCGGGCTGGAGTGAGAGCCGTGTACCTGGTGGATTTCGTGCCAGCCGTTCTCATCCCTGCAGCAGACCGTAGCATGTTCGTGGAGCAGAAGCTCACAGCAGTAGGGGTCTCCCCCGACAATGGCCGTGTGGTACAACGGAGTCAGGCCGTAGCTGTCCTTGTAATCTGGCGACGCCCCAAGTTCTAAAAGGGTCTAGAGGAAAAAACAACAACAAATAAAAGTGGGAATCTGGGATGGATAAGACTCCCCCCAAAAACGTGTGTTGAAATCCTAAGCGTTTTGACATCCTTATCACCTGGAACTGAACCTGCCCCCTCCCCCGGCCCCCAGGAATCAGCTTGTAGCCCAGTGGCAGACAGGTGAGCGGTCACACCTGGGAGGAAGGTGTGACCACCTAGCTCAGGAGACAAAGGGCAGTCCCTGCTCCTGATGAAGCCCGAAGCCCAGAGGCAGGAAGGGATAGGAAAGGAGGAGACTGATGGAGACGGGGACCCGGGGAAGGGGGCAAGGGCATCCCACCCAGGTCACGAAACCAAATGGGCATCAGTTGTTGGAATTAATGACCTCTGTGACCTTTCTCCAAAGGGAAAGACAGGAGTGAGGAGGGGAGGGGGGAATAAGAATGGAGGGATGAAGGGAAGGCACTAAGGAGGGAAAGTCACAGCAGGTAGACAGACCCTGACCTGAGCACCTGTCCGCGTGGCCCTGTTTGGAATGGGGGTGCTCCCTGGCCTCGTAGGAAGGTCAGAGCAGAGGAAAAGTAAAACAAACGAACAGAAAGCTCTCGGCCATGGAGTGGACGCCGACTCAGCGATCCTACAGGACAGGGCGGCACGGCCCCTGTGGGTTTCTGAGACTGTCACTCTTTACAGGAGCAGAAAGCGCAGGCTGCCCCAAGTCATGGCTTCCCAGTGCTTAGCCAGCACCTTCCAGAATTAAGGGGTCCTCAGGAGGTCTGGGGAGGAGCCCCAGTGGCGGAGTGGTTACCTGGTGGGCTGTGAGCCACATGGCCGGCAGTTCCAAACCACGCGCAGCCCAGAGAAAGAAGTTAGTTTCATAAACTCACAGGGAGTGCTAGGAGTCAGTCCTGACTCCATGACAATTAGTTTGGCTTTGTCTAAGGAGGTCTGAGGGCACAGCGTGGCTGACACACTGCTTCACCCAAAACCAGCAGTTTGAGACCACCCTCTGCTCCGAGGGAGAAAGACAGAGCTTTCTACTCCCATCAAGAGGCTCCCAGAGGCTGTGCCTCCCGCCCTACAGGGTGGCCGTGAGTTGTAATGGACCGATGGCGGTGAGTTTGGGCTTGGGGGAGCTTCACAGGGGCTGAAGGTTACTCGGCGGACTGTGCACTGCAAGGTTGGTGATTTGAGGCTCCGGCCCTGCCTGGTCCCATCAACATCTCCAGCTGGGGGTGCTGCCAGTCAGAGTCCACTGGGTGGCAGCGAGTTTAGTTTGGGGTTAACTTTAAACAGGGAGCCCTGGTGGCTTGGCAGGTTAAGCACTGAGCTGCTAACCACCGTCAGTGGTTCAAATCCTCCAGCTGCTTGTCGGAAGAAGCACGAGGCTGTCTGCTCCCATAGAGATTTATAGCCTCACAACTGTATGGGGCAGTTCCTGTGGCGCCCTACGACTTAGAATGGACGTGACAGCAGTGGGTTTGCTCAGCAATGACGGCAAACACACTTAGCTGGTCAACCAAAGGTTGCAGGTTTGTATCCTCCTAGAGGTACCTTGGAAAAGATGCGGGGCGTCTTACGACACAACAACTAGCCATTGAGGACCCTGGGAGGACGCTGAGCCCATCATCAGAGCAGAAGGAAGAACGCAGCATCAGGCTTGGAGGAAGGCTTATTAACAGCCACGATCTGCAGCCATCACAACCTTGCTTGCTGAAAGTGAGGAGGACTTGAAGCCCTTGGCCAATAAAGATCCAGGATGGAAGCCTTCAGGATGGATAATAGCTCCATATCAAGAACCCCCCGAACCCTCACACCTGGACCAACGATGATCAATGGAGAAAAGAATTCAGTTGTCAGGACGTCACCTGGCTTAGGTCCACCGCCGATGCTCATGGGAGCAGCAGTCAAGAGATCAAAAGACGTGTTGCCTTAGGTCCATCGGCTGCACCAGACCCCTTCAGAGTGTGGAAAAACAAGGATGTTGCTTGGAGGTCAAGGTGCGCCTGGGCCAAGTCATGGTATTTAAATCACCTCGGAGACACGTGGAAGCTGCACACTGAATACGGGAGACGGAAGACGCATCGACCGACGCCTCTGAATGACGGCGTTGTCGAGGACAGTACACGTGCACCGTGGGCGTACAGATCTGTCCTGGAAGAAGTGCAGCCAGCGTGCCCTCACATACGCGGACGTGTTGTCGGGAGCGACCAGTGTCTGGAAGCGGAGGGGCCATGAGGGAGAGGAAGACCCTCAACAAGTCGACGGACACTGGCGGCAACCGTGGTCTCGACTGTGAGAGCCATGGTGGGGGTGGCGCGGGAGCAGGCCATGGGTCAGGCACACGTCAGTCCTCAGGCTTGCGGCCTCCTTGCTCGCCCACGCTTTGAAGAGGTCCGGGCAGCAGATGGATGCCCCAGTGCGAGGCATCCTTTGATCTCTCCACTGCTGTCTCCATGAGCGCTGTCGTGGATCCAAGCGCCAAAACCTTCTCTCCACTGACCATGCCATTTTCTGGTCCAGTGGAAACACTTCCCCCAACTCAGCATCTGCTCCCCCCAAAACCGGCCGTCCACCACCTGTACCCTGTAGGGACACAGTTCTACTCTGACACCCCATATGTGGGTTGAAGGCCTGGTCACAAGCCATAATCCAAACGCCCTGCCGTCGGGCTGAATTCGACTCCCAGCCATACTGCAGGACAGGGTGGGCCTGCCCTCGTGGGTCTCTGCGATGGTAGCTCTCTATGGGAGCAGAAAGCCTCATCTCTCTCCAGAGGAGCAGCCAATAGCTTCCAACTGCTGACCTTGCAGTTAGGAGCCCAAGGTGTGGCCGCTATATGGCCAGGGCTCCTCCCCGGCTCACTAGTGCCTGAGAAATGACGTACTGCCCGGAGCTGCCACGACCTGAGATAACTCCTCTTAACTCGCTGCCATTGGGCCCATTCTGACTCAGAGAAACCCTATAGCGCAGGATAGTGCTGCCCCTGGGGGTTTCCCAGACTATAGCTCAGGACAGGAGTAGAAAGCCCTATCTTTCTCCCACAGAGAAGCTTGTGGTTTTGAACTGCTGACCTTGCAGTTCACAGCCCATTGTGTAATCTGCAACACCGAGGATAATGACACAGGTCATGTGACCCATTGGGGCAGGCAGGCAGGGAGGCCCTGGGACAGCAGCGGGTGTCGGCGGGGAGGGA